GGAACAAAACAAAAGAGAGTCGTGACACTGTGTGCTGTTTAGATGACATGACGTAACCACGTGTAAACACAGGAGGGATGCTGCTGGTGAGAAACCAGGGAGAGATGAAGTCAAATCTGCGCTGGAGTGGAAGTAATCGACTGAATAAATCAACATTAATCTTATTCTCTGCTGTTTTTTATCATTTTATTGTCATATGGCACTGAGGAGTTATTGTGGCATTTTTTTCTTCAATACAGGCTCTTTAGGAGCCTGAAGCTGCCCCCCACTGTAATAAATCACTAGTAAAAAACTAATCCCACAATAATCCCAGTATTTTTAATATACATTTTTCAACTCTTCTGTCTCCTTTCAACTTATATTTCTTTAGGCTTCCTTCTAAATGCTTTGATCTACATATTTTTCTTTTGACTTTTGAATTTATGCACAATGATATTTGAAGTTTAAAAAAATATCCACAAAACACCATTTACAGGGGAAAAAGGTTGATATCAGAGTCAGTAGTTGATGGACTGGATGACGCTGATAGAACAGTAATATCACCTCCACTATCCACTTGTCAGTGAGGTATGCAGAAGGAAATCTCTGAGCTTACAACAGGAAAAAATCTGCCATTAAACACCAGAAACACAACGCTCACTAAGAAGGCTCTCCATTTCTGCTGCAGCATATGAACTGTACTGAGGCGTTGACAACAAAAAGGTCAAATGACCTGGGTTATAACTGAAGCTGGTATATTCTGGGTTATAATCTGGCATAATGATGAACATCACTTAGACACCCAAAAACCTTTATAAGTATTGCCACTGACCATGTCCATCCCCTATGGACACCACAACCTATGCGTCTTCTGGGGGACACCTCCAATAGGACAACAAACCACATGGCTTTGCTCGGGCGATCTCCAACTGGATCATTAGACACGGACATAATTTTCTGTACCAACAGTAATTGACGTCTGTCGTCAGCAGCGCTCAATCCACTACAAATGCATATTCAGGATGTGGTCGAACAGGCAGAATGCATCACAGATGTGCAGCCAACAAAACTCCATCTAACGGCATCTATGCATATTTATCAACATGCGCAAAACATTTCTCTGATCGGATTGAGATACAAGGCACAGAATTTAAAGCACTTAAAGTGATCAATCATGTGAGAACACTAACAACACTTCCGTTGGCACATCCGTTGACGTTCAATCACCTGCTCACCTCATTAGGGACACCGTGCTTGAAACCAAAACCAAAGTATAACTGAATAAATTATAATTTATACAACTCCGATCTTTCTCTTTTCTCGTTCCCAAATGTCACTTAACAAACAAATTACATTTCAGATATGCGCATACAGAGACAATAGCAGAATTTAAAAATAAATAACTGTTTCGAGTACAATGCACTATTGTGCAGAGCTTAGTTGTGTTGCAGATAACAATGCCATGTGCGTTAGAGAAGCGGAGATGTTTGTACTCACCGTCCCCGGAGATGTGGTTCTGTATCTGGTCGTGTCCAGTTTGTCTCACTGTGGACACACTAAGTTGAACGTAGAGTCCCATGTAATGCAAAGTGACCAGCAGCAGCCTGAACGCTCCCATGTTTCTTCTCTTTCGTTGGATCTACTCTGGATCTACTCTGTCTTCTTTCTTCACATCGGTTGGAAGGCACGCCGTCTGATGAGGTGTCTTTGTTTCTGTTGATTTTTTTAATGATTTAATTCCATGCAATTAGTTTAGGAGAGGAGTGGAATTGTCTTGACAGCCAACAACCTCAGCCTGCCGCTTTCAACAGCAAACTGACTGACGCTCTGCTTCTGCTTCACTCGGCTCTATATTAGGCGGAGGGAGACCTTTTCCAAATGTGGAGGTGCCGCGGCACTCAATGATGAACTCAAATTGAGGGAGGAGGGAGAAAACAAAATAAATGAAATATTATTTGATGTTATTGGAGTATCCACCCATCATTCAGTTTATTATTCCCATAGACTGAATGAACCAATCTTACTGTTCAAATTCTAATGATATCAGTGGTTATTTTCAGTCACAGAGGTTATCAGTTTTTGTTTAAAAATAAATGAAGAAGCCTACAGCAGGCATGGGCAAACTATGGCCCGGGGGCCGGATGCAGCCCGTTGGGCTTTTTAATCTGACCCGTTAAACTTGTCCAAATTATATAATATTTGGTATATTATTATTATACTTCTGCCTTTTCCCTTCAATGCCACTAAATGACAGTCTTAAAGCACATTAGCATTTTAGCCTTATGCCAGACTTTTACATGTCATTTATCTGAGTTCACATGAACACTGCTCCTGACCCGGCCGCCCTGTCAAATTTTAGGACCCATTGTGGCCCGGGAGTCAAGTACTTTGCCCACACCTGCTCATCAGTGTTGACTCGTTTCCATTTAATATTATTACCTGGAGTGACTTTGTGTGGTCTTTTTATGGGCATGGTCACGGATGTAAATGTCTGCTGCATGTCAGCTGGTCTTTTCTTTTTTCCACATTTGAAACTGAGGAACATGTTGGTTCAGGACAGCAGTATCCAAACTTTTTTGGATGCGCAATTCTTTCTATAGCCAGCCCATGTAAGAGACACATATAAGTGGAAAAAATTACCATTCACAACCACATTCATAGTTATGGTTAATTTAGAGTGAGCAATTACCATTATACCATTTAACTGTTGGTCCAAGAATATAAAAAAGATACAGAGATGACACAAACAAGCTGGAAAGACCAGCAATATGGTGATCACTCACAACTTCGTCTATTGTGTGGCCCCAAAACTCACTCATAAATGTCATTTAATTATACTCACAACTTCGTCTATAAACTCACTCATAAATGTCATTTAATTATGTTCCAGATTTTTACTGAGAGCAGGCTAGAGAGATACATGATCATGATGATAGGTTAACCAGTAATACTAGACAGATACATCCACAGATCCAATGGTCTTTAACAACTAATCTTATTTAGAGCTAAGGGAGTAGCTGGAGATACATTCTGAAGTGTCAGTTTTGATTCACAATCCATATATCACTCTTGACAACTCCATTGACGTTTGGTAGGTGGGATAGTTAACCCAGTAACACACATTTAGATTTACCCCATCACAGATTCATGCTTACATCATTGTTAAAGCTAAAGAATGGATCTTTTGAGCCCAGACCCAAAGATGATGTAGGGCTTAATTTCAAGGCCTGAGAGGCCAGTGCACATCAAAGCGTTAAATTGCAATGCCCCTGTTTTGTACTTTTGCCTGTCCCTATGCTTACTCAGTGACAGAATAGCTTCTCCCCTCCTGCTCCTTGCAGCCCCCGACTAAAGGAGAGAGGCCCAGAGCACAGCGGTGCTGTGTTTGCACTCATTCATTCGGAAAATACAATTATTCTCCCTCCCCTCGGCTGTGAAATTGCTGTACAACTGCTGTTAAACACGCCACAGTCATAATCACTGATAAGAGATGCATGGGGCCCAGCCTCCTCTGCCAATACAATATGGAAACGATGCCCTGCTGCTCTACCCATCTTGTTACTGAGCGATATTAGTTTCCAAAGACACTTTGGAAACGCAGCAGACGTGACAGCTGTCAGTGAGAGACCCACCCGTTTCACACCGACACCCCTTCTTCCTGAGTAGCTCATGGACAATAATCAGATAATAATGTTTAAACAGTTTAAACTTAGAAAGATAACAGAGAACAATATACATGACAGTTGTAACCCTTAGGTATCAATTGTTAAAAATAAAATTAAGCAGACAGTGGGTAAGAGGGTCATCTTAAAAATGTTATTAAATCACTGTTTCTTACCAAGGTTTCCAAACATCTGGCCTGTGGACCCACCACATTCAGCCTGTGACTAGATGTGAATAATTTTTAAAAAATATTGGAAATTTGGAATCTAAGAAAATTATTTGGTTGGGTATTAACGAATAATGAGGCACTACGAGTGTTTTGCACTATAGTATTATACAGTGTTTATATTAAACAAAACAAAAAAACATAAGACACTGGTGTTTCTCTTATGAAAATGTTAGAGACACCTGCCATAAACAGAAAAAATACTTTCAAAACAAAGGCACATTTCATATATCAAATACACATTTCGCGTTTCATCAAATTTGTCACAAATTTCATGTATACAGTATCTTGTTTGCAGAAGCATTTCTTGCGATGGCTGCTGCCTGAGCAATAAGACAGAAGATTTTATTGTGTGCTGTTCAACCTCAACACACCTCCATAGTGACAAGTGACAGTGAAAGAGCTGCAGGAGGCTGCTGAGATCCAAGTGGGTGGACTCAGACAAATAAAGAAGGATCTGTCTTTGTGTGTGTGGATTGGAGCTGCAGATATTCAGCTGCTTTGTTTGTCTGCATCTGTGCAGGATACCTCAGTGTTAAAGTGTAGGTGTAAAACAGATGAAGTGCAAAGGAGATTATCAACAGCCCGTCCAAGGTTTACGTATTAAGTCAATAATCAGACAGACCTAACATAAAGACAGTATTTTATAATCAAAGATTTATTAGAAAATATTTATACAGCCTTAACAAAAATGGTGGAAGATCTTGATCCTGCAGTGTTACAACACCACAGAATGTTAATAAACAGCACTGCAGCTCTGAGCTTAAATCTTCAATATTCTGCTCCCACTGAGTTTGTTTACACACACAGTCTGCTGTGGATTTTAACAAGTCCCTGATACACACAGGTTGTCTACACTGGATTAATAGGATTTGAAAAAATCTGTTTCTCAGATAAATAGATTGATGCAGAAAAAAAAGAAAATTGAGGTGGGGTTATCCAAACTACAACATTCCTTTACAAGAAAATAAAAGATTTTTTTCTTTTTTTTTCTCAGATTGCTGCTAGTGTTAGACTCCTGTTTAAGCAGACTTTTAATGCATATAAACATCCTCAGTTACCACATGTTGAAGCAAAACAAATCAATGGCTAAAGGTCGCAGTCACCACTGATACAAAATCAATGTTGCACGCAGAATTTCGTTTTTTTTTTTTTTTTTTGGAGGTGTCAGAGGACATGCCATTAGAAGTTGTCCATCAGGTCCATGATTCTCTTCTGTTCGGCCTCTTTGAACTCATCGCTCTTCCCATCCCCAATGCTCTCTGCATACTCTGCAAAGAACAGACATCACAATCCTTTAAATTTGAACTCGTCCATGGTGACAAATGTACTGTGTTTACAAAATTGTCCTGTTTTGAAAAGGCAACAATTAAAAAATAATCCATTCTCGTCTCTAAGTTGTCCCTAACCCTAAGTTTTATATGTTTTCATAACTACATTCTTCTTGTTTATAATGACTAAAAACCTCATGAACACATTTTGCTACCATTCCTTGTTGGTTTCTTGTTCTTATAGGTGTAAAAAATATTGTATCTATATGAAAAAGGTTCATACTTGGGTTTGATCATTTCTGGGCCAGAGACAGTTTCCGGTCATCGCTTTGTAACAACTCATACGAGAAACCATTTCCTTTGAAAAATGGCCATCATATCGTGAGAAATCTCAGGACAGAAACAGACTCTGTCCTCTGGCTGTCAGCAGTTATCGGTCCAGGTGTTACTGTGTGGTGCCCATACTTCATCCAACACTTTGGAGCTCTTTCTTCATATTGTGCTTCTGTCTCCTGCACAAGGCTTCTGAGACCGTCCAACAGCCGATTTGTGAGTCTAATGCGAGAGAAAGCTGAAGGCTGTGGCTGCTGCGGCCTCGAAGGGGAGCAGGCGTTTGCTCCGTCTCTCAGTCTGCCTCAAAGGCAGGGATTACACATTAAAACCCAAGAATGTCAGAGACAGAGAGATGAAAAGACTGCCTCTCACACAGGGGAGATGTGACTGAGAGGGGAGGGCGTTCTTGACATGAGACCGCGGGGTTTAATGGCAACATATGGCTGTCAAACACACAGGCGAGAAATGGCATCAGTTTCATAACTACACATCTGGCTTCCCTTTTATACACTTAATGGAGCTTAAATAAATCTGACCTGTTCATTACCAATATCAATGAAATGAATGGTGGGTCATTGTTTTATCTGAAACCTTTCTTTATATTTATGTACATCTGCTTAAATATATGATATAAGCAAAACGTATAAGTTAAGAAATAATGAAAAAAAAAGATCTAGTATAAACACATACATTTTTCTTACTTTTACATTGCACTCCAATTCAAGCAGTAAGTTACTAAGTTATTTGCTAGTGTAAATAATTGTTGCATTAAAATAAAATTGTATTATATCTATTATAAATATTCAAGTTTATCAGCAGTGTATTTTAGGCAATAAAGCAAGAAGCAAGAAATGAAAAAAAGTATAAAAGTGAAGTTATGATTCAAATGTTGTTGTATTACGTCTGTAATGGGAATTTGGGAAATTAATGCAGACTTTCAAAAGTGATTTTGAAGAGATTTAAGAAAAAGCTCCACCAAAACCACCACATCTTTTATCTCTGCTCAACAGCCGACAGGAGGAGTCAGGGCATGAAGTGGACAGATACGAGTTTAAGTCAGAAGTACCATCATTTACACTGGAGCTGTGAGGACAGCAGAGCCGGACAGCACATGAATCTTTGCTACAAATACAAATTTCCAGGTGGGCTCAGAGGAGAGGCAGTTTGACAGAGGAGCAGCACAGAGGTCACTGCATCACTGGGTTTTCTGAGCTGAGCGGGGAAAACCGCAGAGCTGGGAGTGAAGTCATAAAAGTGAGTCCAGCTTGGACGTGGGAGGTTTGAGCGAGTCGGTTTGGACTTTGGGAGAAGTAACACATGGCTTCAACCCAAAGTTAAATTGCAGCAGGAGGAATTTAAATGTGATCCCTGGAGGTGTGTGGGGAGAACTTTTTTTCTTTTTCAAGGAGAAATGCAAAATTCTAAGGTTAACTGAAAAGAAGCTGGTTGGAGGCCGTGGAGGGAAGAAATCTACAAAGACATGAAAATCTACAGGCTTTTTCACTGTATTGCCTGTCATTATAAGTGTGTGTGTGTGTGTGTGTGTTTCAGAAGCAGTCAGCCACAGAGACAGAAAGGTCAGAGATTCTTTGACTCTCTGCAGAACCTTTTCACTGGCATGCTGGTTCTCTGTCCATCTGTTACCACAGCAACACAGCAGGGGAACAACACAGTACTGAGTGAGGCCATTACTCAGGTCAGTGACTGGGACTGATCTGCCACCACTACAAGGAGAGTCATCAGGTAATACATTCCCTTTATTTAAAAATAACTGCATTTTGTCCTTTTTTGTTATAGACCATAGATAGATATTAGACAAAAGTTGGGGCAAAAATGGGATAAGGGCACCAGATTATAGCTAAAGGTTAGCCTTGAATGGCTAAAAGCACATAGTAATACAGAGATTATATAAAATATATATCCCTTAAAGCACCAAGTCATTTAATTTACAATAGGACGACAGGTGAGGTTAAAGTGGTGCAGCCATAAATGGTCATAAATAGTTACTAAATCAGCCTAAATCACTGCATCACATTCACAATTACATTAAAAAATGTGAAATAAAGCTCCCTAAGATGGTGTTTTTACATAATAAGGTGGAAAAAATGATCAGTTAATGCGCTTTGACAGGGAGGTGTGTGCTTTCCACAGAAGTCAAAAGTGTGAGTGTGACTGCAGTAAATGAGTGCGTAAAGTGTCACTATAAAAACAGTGGAAAGGACACCTTGAAGACACAAAAATACGCCAACTAATTTCAAAGGTTACATTCATCCAGCCATCTGTTGAGGTGTTTACTTTGGCAGAGAGGAAAAAAAAAGGCAGGATTCACAAGGAGCGGCCCTGCACAGCACAAGAAGGTCAACATTTGTCTCATGTCACCAACTATGTTCTGCTATTATATGCTTTGTAATATAAATGACGGGGCTGTCGAACCATTACAATTTTTCATTAGAGTTATGACAACTGGTTATGAATGCTGGTATAATTCCATATACAGTGCACCTCATTTAATACATTTGTGGAAATGCTTCAAAAATTAATGAAGTATTCATTGCAATTAACACGAAAATTTTGAAAGGTACCAATGTCATGATCGTAAGATAGCAAAGGTTTCTAAGGAGCAAGACCTCACTGCAGACATTTACAAGCCAAATGAAATCAATTCTCCTCTTCTCAGCAAACTCCAGTCATTAAGTCTGCATGCGCTTAACCTTTCTTTTCTGTAGCTTCACTTTGACCCAGTACAGTAGTTAAATGTGTGGCCTAATGACGTAGCGAGGATACACACACAAAGCACAGCGCAGCAACACATACATGAATTTGTTAAATGCGTACACAAAAGCACATGACAAAAAGGTGGGAGTTAAGATGGTGCAAGGACAAGTGTACTCGGTGTGATCATGAATATGTATCAACGTGCAGACATGTACGCAGCATGTAAAACCACAGAAGGGTGAAAACGAATGCGCATTAGATATTAGTGTGAAACATAAATATGGAGACATGCTGAAGGCACAGATTTACATAGGTACAGCTTCCGTACGTTCACACACACACACACACACACACACACACACACACAGAGAGAGAGAGAGTATGGTAAATGTGCAATACCATGCATGACAGATGACTTTATCTAGAGAGTTACATGCCACAGAGCTGAAGGCTGTGTGGACGACACATCATCCTGCAGCTCCTCATGCCACGGTGATTCATGGGGAAGGAAAGGAAGGAGGGAAGGAAGGATGGAGGAATGGATTTGAAGCCAGGAAGAAAGGAACACAAACTGACAGAAAACAACTAAAATCACAAGATGAGCAGAAAAAAGTGACTGATGGACACAGAGGAAAACAGAGGAAGTCCGCTTCTCTGCTGCTTTTTATTTAGCCTTACACTGCTATCAGATTTGAATTTTATCTCTTCTGTCTGTTTTCAACATCTCTTTCTGTCTTATTTAACATTAAAGAAATAGTTTGTTTTTGACCATTATTTTCATTATATAAGATAACTTATTTAAAGATAACATCAACTATTTGATCTTTATCTATTATATATATTATAGTATAATATATATAAGGTTAGTAAAGCAAAGATCACAATAAAATATTTGTAATAAAATACATAAATAATGTATTAGCTTTGCAAGTCCATTTTTGCATCATTTTAAACATAGAGAAGCTTAGATTTAACATCACTGAATGTTTATGCAAATCAGCTTCTACATGTTCTGCGTATGGTTAAAATACTGACAAAAACAGCTGCAAAAATAAAATATTAAAGTACGTATAAAAAGAAGCAATGATGTTTTTTTAAAAGAACAGCCATGGCTTCATTTCACTGCAGGTTTTTCTATTTCTACTACAGACCAAAATCATTGAACTCTGTGTCAGTGTATAATAGAGGGATGTATGAAACCAACAACTAAAAAAACAGTCTTGTTTTAAGAATAAGTTTTACCAAAAACACACTCTCTTAAAAAAAACCCCTAGAAACTTCATTCTGACACCAGGCTCTAAATTTGTCCAAAAGTCAGAGCGACATTATTCATGGTGTTTCATTACATTCCATCAGAAACATTTTGACAGGCAAACAGCTTCTGCCTGCTATAAAATGACAAAGATAGTTTCAGAAAAGTGATTCAGCTGACATGTTTACCCAAAAGTGTTGCTTACTTGTCAGAGTCCGATTGTTTTTCTAAAAGTGATGCGAACTGTTTGAAACCTACAGAGTTTATACTGTTCTTTTTCACTGTCAAGTACAAGCCTTTTTAGGGGAATTTTCACTTAATCATTAACAAAACTGTTCTATAGTGACAGAAATGTGTGCATGCCTACACATCATGATCACAAGGATTTGGAGTCAGAATATCGAGTGACTGTACAGTTACGTAAAGTTCCTAACATCACAATTAATCTACGTTACCAATGAACAGTGGATTTGCTCCATGTTTTTTGGACACAATTTGTATTTTGTCATTCTCCACCCAACGATCATAGAAACAAAAACTTTCTGGCATCTTGATCGGCCACACACACTCTTGTCTACCACCCACTCTCTTGGGGTGACGTGACACAGGACAACAAGTAATCCTGTCACAAACGTGAAGGCTCATGCGAATCCCAGCAGAGAGAGCAGTGTAGTTTGCATTTTTGAAAAATATTTTTTTCATCCAACTTATTTTATTTCTCTCCATTAGTATGTGGTCTAGTGAGTCAGACTGCTGGGAAAATAAGTTAAAAATTCGGAGCATTTAGACAGACTTTACGCAAAATTTAAGCATGTTTCAGGCCCTAAAAACGCTACATTCTTCAAGGATCTCAAGTACCTGTACGAACCCAGAATCTAAATCCTTAACCTTACATTTAAAACATGATGTAGCAATTATTTACACTATTTTTTTTATTACTTACGTGGTGTTTGTCAGGAGTAAACGCTGCAGGAGATAATAAAGATGTTACTCACCTCTCATTATGTGCCGCACTATTTTTACTGAGCCTCCCCTCAGGTTGAGAATCTGATGGACTCTTTGTTGCAGCTAAGAGGAGATGAGAAAAAGAACCGGTTAAATTCTGACACAGATTTGTCAGGACTCAAACAACCTGTGGTTCGCTGATCAAGACGCTGTTAGTATATTTATATTTTAGATGTCAATTCAGCTCTTTTATGCTCAATTATCTTTGGACAGATTGGAGACGAGTAAACAAATTTAAATAATTAAAAATCCTACTTTATTTATACTTCATTCCTAGAGCTACAGGTGTATCTGAATCCAGTCAAGTTCAGAGTAGTGAGTAATTGATCCACTCCACTGTCGATCAGAAACCATCTGACATCACACATCAGTCTGTTATTGTCTATTATTGTCCAATCAACATTATTTATTCTGGGCCAACCCCAAAAGCACAAACCCAAAGTCTCTGTGTCAGTGTGTGTTTGTGAACCTGTGAGATTCCAGAGTTGCTAATCTCCACCATGATGTAGCAGATCAACTGGAGAACAAACAGTCCTGCGTCCAGACGTCGAAGGTAGAACTCGTCCTCCATGCTGTCGTCCAGAATCTCCCCACGACGGACCATCTCCTGCAGGAAGAACATGTCCAAGAAGTCTGAGTGAAGTGGACAACAACTTGAAAATATATTCTGTACCAGTTTTGTCTTTTTTATTATTAACACATATAAAAGAAATCTGACGCTGGATTTAAACTCTGTTGTTTCTGTCTTTCCCACCAATCGTTTTTCTCCATTGATCACACAAAGCAATCAATTGATTTCAGGACAAAGCTGCGAAACAACAAAAAAATATAGACACACACACACACACACACACACACACACTGGCATAGTTATCCATCTTAACAAGGCTGTCAGCATGCCAATAACACAGTGCTGCCAATAAGCACACAGTGCACATTAATCATCATTAGAGGGTGAGGAACGGAGCGGAGGAAGAGCGAGAGGGGAGTCTGGAGGGAGAGTCACTGGACAATAACAAAGAAAAGTGTCACTCAGCTTCACCTCGGTACTACAGCAGTGGGGACACACACTACTACTGTGTATTTTATTTTTGCTATACAGTATCCGTTAACCAAGATTCATTAGTGCAGTGAGGAGACTGAAGCAGATGATGATGTATTTGCTCACTGGTAAAACAAACATCTGTTGTGACAGAGGAATTCACATAAAAGGATTACGTGCATTATCTATAATCTTCTCGAAGCTACGGCTTTGTGCAAAATCGTCGTTTTTTTAGTAAGTCTTATTATAATTTGTTTACACAAGAAGAAAGGTATGAATATATAAAAAACAGTAGGTTTTTTCATCAAGACAGAGTTATCCAATATATGACATATCAAACATGGGAAAGCTAATTTACTGCAGTACATGTACTGTACATACATCATGGTAATTGACAAAAATGATGACAACTGATACTAACGAAAACAAATAGTACTTATGATACAGATGAAATGTAATACACACATAGGAACACCAGAAAAATTTTACAGCACATTAATTGTTTTTTTTTTATATATTGGAACTATGTGAACTGTGTTGTCCTTGTCAAAATAAATGTCTATTTTAGCATTGCACCTTGAAAAACAAACAAAAATCAAACCTCCAGAAACAAATAGACTTAAATAAGCAATGGAAAATGTTTACCTGAGGAGAACAATAAGGCCACATAAGTTGACTGGACATTGAAATGGTTTATCTAATTTGGCCTTTCACATTACTCACTGAATTTCTTAACATCTTGCTGCATTTTGTATTTATTTTAATGACTCAAAGTAAAACGAAAAATGTCTTTGAGAAAATGCTTTTGGGAAACAACCTTTGAGCTAGGATATAAAATAAGGTAATACTGATAATTAAATTTGTAACAGAGCTCACAGCAAAGGATAAAAACAATACACCACCGGAGCTATTTCAGAGAGTGTTCTCTAAAATACTGGTGAGCATGTCGGTATAAAAAGACGGATGCTAAAAGCAGGGTCTCATTTAGAAGACAGAACAAGAGAACAGAGCCCTACTAAAATTCAAGATTGAAAACAAGGTAGGTAACTAAAATAAGAAGCTTCAACAGACACTGGATGTGTTTCACTGGTGTCCTTTGGGTAGAACATAGGGCCAGTCTTTCATTTTATAAAAAAAAAAAGATTTATCACATCATAAAGAGGTATTAGTGCCTTGCTGTCAGCTAGAGCCCATTAAATATGCAAAAAGATTAGAAAAATGAAACAAAGCTGTTGAATTTTAGCTGTGATTCCTCTATTTTCTCGTAAGAAAAGAAGATTATCTCAGTTTCCAGGACAACGTAACTCATTATTCTGGGACAATACAGAACCTGGAGGCAAATTTCTGCAATCTAACTGCAGCAGAGATACTACACACGCAGGATATAGGCCTAACACTGTAACAGATAGGAGAGCGTACATTAATGCGACCCCTGAGGGACAATTAACAGAGACTGATCACAAACACACACCAATGACACACTCATGTTCTCATGTTGAATGCTGAATGCTTTACAGAGCAAATCTACTTCCTGTCATTTCCGACTCTGCTCATTGGACACTGGATAAAAGTGCCGCAGGCGTTTTTTGTAAGGACGACTCAATTACCACGTGTTTCCATTACAGTCCCACTTTATCAGCTGCAGAGAAACGGGACTTTATCTGAAATATGTGAATCCATGTGACTACAGCCTGCCTCTGAGATGTCTGTACTGGGGAGATTAGAAAAGATACACAGTAGTTCTTTACTGGTGTGTGTATGAGAGAGGAGAACATTTTCGTTGTCTCTGTATTTTATTGCATTTTATCCCTCCTGTAAAATTTCCTCAGGTAAATTATTCTGAAAAAGTTGCAACATCAAAGGAACAGAGTAAAGAGTACTGACAACAAAGTCTATGTTGGCTCTGTTGGACTTAGTGGGGGATCCGGTAACTAGTGGAACCATATTTAAAACATATTTCAGGCTAAATCCAAATCTAATATTTTGTAAACATGACATTTTAGTGCATTAAGTTAACAGGTTAGAAATGTAGAATGTTGAAGAATGTCCAACCACGCTGGGTTGTTTTTTGGTTCGCAGTTAACCCCAACCGATTCACACTTGAGAATCAAAGTCCATCACAAATCAAATGTGGTCTTCACTTAAAAAAACATAAAATATTGCGGTATTAACTGGTGTCTTGTCCAAGTCCAGCTACACTAAGACACGGCAGACCAAAGCAGGCTCTTGGATCTGTCCACAGAGCAGAGAAGCTTAAACAATGACAGGTTCATTAAATATTTATTCCTTCTGAGCCCTGAAAGTGGACGCGTGAGATATTAAAACCCAGTGAATGCGGGCAGGGTGGGCAGAATTCATTACCGAGCAAAGACTTTTGTCCACTTTTGAGTCCTGACATTGCATTCTGACATGCTTTATTTCGTGGCAGCACAGTCCCTCTGGGCAAACAGCAGGCAGAAGAAAAGAGGAAAGAATAATGCTTTTAAAGCAGGGATTGGACAAGTCAATTACTGCAACCTCGGGGGAGGCTGGGCCGCCTGGCTACAGTACAGACAAAGTAATAAGCAGCAGTTCTCACTTGCGGTATGGCTACTGTAACTTAGCTGGTGTGAGTGTGTAAGTGAGTTAGTAATGTAGGCTGTAGGTGCTGTTCTGTTCCTCTTGTCTATGTATCACATGTGTCTAAAGTGTTTGTATTGGTTTGATTATGTGAGTCCTTAAATTATGTTTGATTTCTTGTTTGGAGTGTGTGTGTGTGTGTGTGTGTGTGTGTGTATCATTCAAGCTGTTTGTTATTCATCTGCCTTCTCTACAACAGGGATGGTCACATGCAAAATTAAAGTTATTTCTTTGTCAGCACTTTGCAAAAACCCACTGTGACTCTGTGTGTGTGTGCGTATGTTTGTGAAGGAATAAAAAGAAAGGAGTCCTCATTAGAAACAGAGACCAAGAGGTTCATAATGAGGTAAACTTTCAAGAAGGAAAGAAGAAAAACCAGACAGACACAGCTTTGTTAAACAGGGAGACACGCTGATTTGAAGTTTGGATCGTCTTCATTAAAAAAACAGCAGCCTTGTGCTTTTGGGTTGTGCATCAATTAGGAGTGTGTTCATAAAGTGGGACAAAGCAAAGCAGCAGCGATACAGGATGGGAGGAAGAACATTACCGACCTCCAAAGCTGCCCAGGAAAAGAACACAAGGTGCAGGATATCTAATCATATCTGGATGAAAGAGGCTAACCAGTGAAGTGGTTGTGATTTTTGTAGTAAAGCATATTATTGTGCTATTTGTGAAATGTCACTTATAGCAGTGTTTGTCATGCTTCAGTTCACGTCTGCCATTTGGGAAAAACAAAACCAGATTAAATCCAAATCCAACAATCTGCAGGACTGTCATTTATTTGACTGCCAATTAATCCAATTACTTTTTACAGTGGTTTATTTGTAGTTTACACAGTATATGTATTTTTTTCAGTGCTACTGTTTTAAATTAAACTTTTATAGAGTAGACAAGTAAATGTTTTTGTTTTTGAAAACATACATTAATCTTTCTAACTAGCTAATTCAAAAATTAATTTTAACTTAAAAAATTACAAATACTAATTCTTACTCCTTTTCTAATATGTATTTCCATTAGTTGTCTTGTCCTGTTTTTTTTTTTTTTTCTTTTTTGGTCTTCATATTCAAAAAACTTCAATCAATCAAACAAACAATCAGTCAGGGAAGACAAATAAAGATCATCTAGAGAATAGTTTGCAATAATGAAAAGATAACGTTAGAGCTGCAAAACAGGCAAAAGAAAACAGAGGGCAAAAACCAGGGGACACACAGAAGAATAAAGAAAGAGAATGTGGTAATTACTGGGAAGCACTTAAATAAATGTCATTGTTCTTTGGACAGTCCTTTAGGTCACAGAAGCCAAACTGATCCATGAAGTGTGCAAACATATTCACACACCACAGTATGTTACTACATGTTAAGACAGTATAGTGCACACTTCGTTGCAGTGAGAAGTCTCTCAGCCCATTTTGGTGCATTTAATAAATCTTGCTGTGCTGTCATGAAAAAAACCCAAGAGCACAGCAGAGAGGTTTTATAAGACAAAGGTGGAGAAAAGGGAAAAAGGAAAAAATGGCAGCCACATGGAAAAATAGGAAAAATAGGAAAAAGGAAGAAAGTGGAAAATGCAGGGGATAGATAAAAGGAGAAGACATTCAAAAGTACAAAGACTTTGGGTGAAAAGAGTAAGAAGGCTAACTGGATAAAGAGCAAACACAAGAGAAACTGGAAAGTGAGGAAACAGAATTTTCTGTTAGAGAAAAACAAGACAAGGAGAAGTGAATAGGAGGAGAAAATAGGCCATGTATAAAAGCAAGAAAAACAAGATGAGAAAGGAGAAGACGCCATTAAAAAATGTAAAATAGAGCAGTACGGAAAAGCCGCCTTAACTAAGAGAGAACAGGGAGGATAGAAAGATAGAAGATGGGAGGAAAAATAAGCAGCTTATTAGAGGCGCTGGGCGGCAGATTCAGAGAAAAGCTGCTGCAGCTTTTTCACTGCTATCCTCCTGAGAAATCTGGGGATAATATGTTGCAGAGGAAAAACATTTTGGCTGCCACCTCTTGAAAACAGGTTTAACTGGGGACAAACCAAAAGGCACAGAAGTGAGGAAAAAAATGCGACTACAGCTGGCAGCTGATTTAGCTGAGGAGTTGAACAGATCTCAGTTGGCATCTTTACCAACTTTTTGGGTAAGCATGTGGATTGTACCAAAAGCTTTGGTGAAACCAGGTGATAGAGCTGGAGTCACAATAAAACTCCTAGCAAAATCTAGCACAACGTTCTGAGCGCTGCACTCTTTAATCAGTTTTAGCCTCCTCTAAAAACTGTCTCTGCTAAGTAGACGTCTGAAACAAACAAGTTCATTAAATATTAAATATTTACAAGCCACACACTAGAAGAAAAACATTTATACTAACAACCAGACGGAGCAGATGTTTAAATATCTGTTCAAACCTTTAATTAAAATTGATGGTTCAGTACAATTCAGAGAGTTAAGTGAAGACAGCATATAACCTTTTCCCCATCACCTAAGAACACAGTGATACTTTGTTCTTGTTTTGCTGTTAGCAAGCAAGCTCGATGATCACCCTCTACAGACAAATCTGACACCTAACAACTCTGAAGACACGTAATAGAGTTCAACAGAAAAACCTCCACCCAACTGTCAGCAGAAGACTATTAATGCATCTGCACACCGTGCTATCAATATTGCAAGAAAGGCAAATACTGCCAAGAGGATAGTATTAGTCTGTTTGTTTGTTTGTTTGTGTGTGTGTGTGTGTGTGTGTGTGTGTGTGTGTGTGTGTGTGTGTGTGTTGGCCCACATTTGATTTGAAGTCCAGGAGGTAGCGCAGTTCTTGGTAAAAAGTTTACATCCTAAATTATGTAATGCAAAGGTCTTGCTTAATTTGTGGGCTGCAGAGATTCCGTCTTAAAAAGTTATGTTTAGGAGACTTAACAGATAATGTGATAGAGTATTAATTTCTAGTACTCTGGAAGCCTTTTACATCCATCTACAAAGTGTCAAAGAAGCAGGTATTGAACTGATTACCCTCCCTTTTTACCACTTCATAACCACTGCCAATGTCAGGAGTTCTGATTTAACACAGGGATTGAAACATCAAGTCCTATTAGTTCCACTGTCTTCTCTGCTCCCAGTGGGGACATGATTCAATTCAAGGAAAATTGATTACTCAGCAAAACTCCAAGTCTGGAGCCTTGGTGGTAAATGGTGTACGTCTGCGCATGAACTTTTATTCTGCTGTCAGAATACTAAGAGATTTGTACAGACACCAACAAGCTGTTTCTTGGACATATTTTTAAAAACATATGTAACATTTTCAGCTCTATATTTTCACCTAATCCTCAGCACCACAGAGAGAAACCTTTTTTATTTCTTTTTGATTTCAGGTTATTTGTGGTACATGGTTTATGGTGAAAGTTCAACTAAGGAAAAGCATGCTTCAGTAAAGCGGCAAAGTCTGGACAAAACTTTGAGAAAGAAGAATAAATATTGTCAAGGCAGTGACAAGGCTGGAAATACTACAGAGACAAGAAGGGGATTTATTGTTGGTGACAACCAGCTCCTCTCTGACAGACTTTGTTGGCTTTTGAATCCACAGTACAGCCTGTCAATGGGATACTTTTCATACGACACCATACTGTCTGTACAGCGTCTGACAAGTCATGTTGTCATTGCTGCTGGAATGACACATTTGGCCCATGTCTTTGTGCTGCTTCACTGCACAGGACTGATTCTTTTACTATGGCTTAACTGAAACTATAAGATAGTGACAGTTGTATTCGATTAGGGCTCAGTTTCAAATGACACTTAAAAGCACTTGGTTTTTTAAATGCATCATTCAGTGGCACATCTGATTTACTGTGTAACCTTATTAGTCTTTAATTAGCCAGAAACATGCTAATTAGTCAAAGTCTTTAAGTACAGTTTAAGTACCTGGCTGCCCTTGCAAAGAATGGTAAAACAAGGTCATTTCTGACCATATTGTCCAGACTTCCGTAGTATTTTCATACCTAACGTAATCATCTATTTTGAATGGCAGACCTATTTGTTAAGCACAGTTAGAATTCATCTATGAGCTAATTTGCTGCCACAATTTTGCCTGTGTTACAAATGACCCAAAACATAAACTGCTCTGATGATAAATACAGCCCACTGCCACAAGCTGGTAATTCCCTTTGTCCCAGGCTCTAACATGTCCTGGAGCTGTTGTTGTTCTCACGACACACCAGTATTGGGCAGTGGGAGAGGGTTTCTTATTGATGGTGTACCATACACAAAAGTGTGTTTCACCACTTTAAACCCTATATGCACCGTTTTATTCTGCTCATCCCAAAGGAAGAGACACAACAGAGGCAGGGAAACATGGAGCGAGAGAGTTAAAAATAAGGAAGAAGGAAAATGTCAAGTTGTCTGGACTTTTTTTTCAGCAAAGTCTGTCTGAGAAATTCATCTTCCGCCATGGGAAGATAAGAAATCCACACTTGCCGTTCTTCACAAAAACACACACACACACACGCTCCCACACACACCACAAAAACACACATTCTCTCCAATCCCCTTAAACGATTCCCTCTTTCCTGTCTCTTTTTCTGTTTCTTTTTTAGTTTTCTCACTCTTTGTAATGGTACTTCTCATTGTATTTACAATATCTGACCATTTTTGACCTCTTCTATCTTTTCTAAACACAAAATTATATCTTACTCTCTCTCACACACTCTATTCTTTCATTTTTCCCTCTGTTGAGACCATTATCTCCCACCAGGCCACATACTTTCTATTTCTATCCCTCTATTGGTCTATCTAGCCGGCAGCTCACACCAGTGACATTCTCACTCATGCAGAGAGCTCAATAAGGGCCTCACACAGCTATTAAGATTTCCATTCTTCAGTAAATCTGTCACGTTGTTATCAGGACTGTGGTGGAGTTTTGTGGTCCATAACTTAGGGCTTTATATGTGGCACTGTATGGAACAGTGTGAAACATCTGATCTATGAGAAACTAAAAAAAAAAAGCCAAAAAAAGAGCCATGCCTCCCAAGCTACTAATAGGCATTAATAATGTCATCTAAGTATAAAAAAAATTGATTTTAAATGTCTTTAAAATGAACTAGGGATTAAATACATGTGCTGTGCTTTGGGGCCTATGGTGGTAAGCAATAGTTCCCCATGATATAATTTTTCTCAGTAGGTCAGAGTTTTATAGAAATTGTAAATATGTATATGTATATGTATATGTATATGTATCCGTATCCTTGCCAGCAGAGAGTTCTGATTTCAATTTCCAGAAAAATAATAGTCTTTCTGTTCATGACCTTGATTAATCACTATTCATCAGGATAAATGACATAAATGATCATGATTAATTGTGATTAATCTACTCCTTTTCCTTTTTTTTAATTTTAATTTAACTTCACAAGCCTAGAAGAAAAATAAGGCAGTTTAAATAGATCATTGTAACAGAACAATCATGCTACAAAAGTGTGACTCAACGGGTCGAACAATTTCTCTGCTAACACAGAACCATTAATGTCAGTTGTGCCTTTCAGTATTAGCTATTTTCTTGGATGGATTTATTCAGATGAACATTTTAGTGAGTTTTAGACACAAGGAAAGAATCAAACAGCTGAAAAACAAGAAAATCACACAAACAACACAACAATTCTGGCAATATTGTGTAAACCATTTTACACTTGTAAATTGAAGAAACCTCTGTGGCTTAATGAGGGAAACTGTTATTACCAATGATTTACAGGTAATGTCATACAAAACAGCACTAACTACACCAGACTCCTAATGACCTAAAATGGTTATGATCAGTTTAGGACTAGGTTTAGATTTCAATTTACAAGCCCCTGATGAAACTATTCTCAATCTTCTATAGCATGCAGTGGAACAACACCTCTACTTCTAATGATGCCTTGGCCTAAAGCATTCCTTTGATGGCCTGTCATTTGTGGTCAATAAAGCAAAGCTAAAAACGTCAGTGTTTTATGTGAACCCATCCATCCATAGCAGGCTGTTTAATATGAGGCCAAAAAGACAGTGCAGGGAGCAGGATGAAGGCTGGAGTGGGAGGAAAGGAGGCAAAGAAGATAGAAAAAAAAAGAGACTCTTACATGTTTCTCTCCTTCGATCCTCTTGTCAGCAGCTTGAACAGCTTCCAGATACTTAAAATGCAACTCCATCAGTCGATCAACCTGCACAGGGAGAATAATAAGAGTAAAAGGAAAGAAGGTGACACAAACGGTATAAGAGGATGTAAGGGAACAGGGATGCAAGGCAGGAGATACAGGAGAGCAAACATACATACATTAATAAATGCATTTAACAATGAATAGTGATACACTCTACTAACTTTCTTAAAAGGGTACAACATGCAGAAAAAGAAAAAGAACTATGTTAGAATTGGACTAAAAACCCATTTATACTCCATTTGTGAACATGTCTTATTATATTGCTCTCAGCAACACATTAACTTTGAGACATTTTTCATTAATGTGTTGGCAGTTGCAGAAGGAGTTGAGAACAAAATTCACAGCAACATATTTTGTTTATATTTATATGCATAGTTTATTTTTTTAATGCGCAGACTCTGTGTCATGAAGTGACAGAACACTTGCTAACCTGATGTGGTGGCATTTTTTTTTTCATTTTCTGCCTCCACATTTTATTAGAATAAACCTGACAATAGAGTTCTTTTATAATCTTCGTGACCAATCTAACTCTGTGACTCACTGTGTTCTAAAAATGCAGGGAAGCAACAGCTTCTAAAGTGAATTAAATTTTAACTATGAACCTGGGGACATTTATGCATCTTGATCAGCGTTTTTGTGGCCGATCAGGGTTTTGCTTAATTTATTTTAAAAGATATGTCAAAATGTCAGCTGATTCATTTACATTTTCTATAACACTTGATAACATTTTAGCTTTGTCCCAATTAATTTTAAGCTAGGTGACTATAATCACACTTGTCATTTAATTTAACGAATAGCAAAAAAGAGGAAAAAACATGCCTAGAGCAGTACTCAGTAATAAATATCCACCTATACTTTGAGTGGCCCATAGTGAAGACAGAGATTTTTTTTTTAATGAAAACTCCTACATAATCGACAAGTGAGTGTCTTGCCTTCTGTGGAGACAAACAGAGCAGGGTCACCTGGCCTCCTGGATTGAGGACAACTTGCTCCCTATACCTAGGTTTAACATGCCCATGATAAATATGGATACTGACTGAGAGCCTTCACCATTTAAGTCCATTAGAACGTCAATGACCTGCTGCTATTCATGTTCTTGTCCAAGAACAAAAGACCAAACACAGGAAGATTTAAACAGCACTGACCTTCTCACAGTCATTCTCCGTGAACTTGGTGAGGAGCCTGCTCCTCTGTTGGGACTTGAGATTCCTCAGCATTGAGGCGATGATTGAGGAGACGTGCTCTAAAGAGAGCAAAGCATGAAGACCATTAAAACAGCAGAACAATGGACAAAGCCATCAGTTGCAGTTCATTTTTTAACATGCTTTACTTCTTATTAAAACGTTTTTGCACACTTTATTACTGAAATATAACCACTGGCTTCTTCCTGACGATGACGAAAAATATACAGTAGCTCAACGTCCTACATGGAAGCTCATTACGGCAAAATGGTCTCACAAAAGTTGATTGTAGGTTTTTCTATGATCACTTCCCATTTCTGTTCCTCTTGGTAAAAAATGTTTGTCACACGCTTACATTTACACTGTCCCATTTGATAATTAGCAGTTACTAAGCGCAGTCACGTATACCCCTACAGGGAGAGAACAGAACAGGAGTGAGCTAGAAACATTAATTAAATGATTTTTTTTTTTTGCTGTGATGTGATGGGAGATATCTTTTATCTTCTTCAATTTAAAGTTATTTATCTACAACAAATAAACAGAAAGTAATTTATAACCGGCTACAAAACTAGTGTGCCTCGTTGATTTCCCAGATCCACCATCCATGGATTTCTGCTACAACGTCATGACTCCATCACACTGAATGAAAAAGACACTTAACACAGTAGAAGCACATTTATCACATTGTGAAAACTATAGATAGGGTTCATAAAAAAGAAAGAAAAAATAGTTAATTGTTCTTTATCAAAGAGGGCTCAATACTCTCTATCAACAAGGCTTTGCAGTTGCTAAGCAACCAGAGTACCAAATCAATTCTGTTTTCTGTTTTATATAAAGGGATTGCGTTTGCTGTCAGATCTCTTTGTGCAATCCCCTCTGAGCCACAACTTCTTTACCAATAAGACTTAACGATAAAAACACAGAGTGGACTCATTTCTAAAGGCCTCTTTTCCAAACTGAACCAACATTGTGTTCTAGTATATCAATGTTTGCAAAACTAGAAATCCAAAATGCACTTGTTAAATTATGTAAATAATTTTTGAACAAAACGGGCCAAACCCAAGTGGTAGTGAACCCTTGAGTTGGACCAGACCTTTGTTAGTCAGACAGCTGAAGTGAGGCACAGGCTAAACCAAAGTAGCCAAGACTGAACCAGATCAGAGCAGACACACCTAGTCTAAAACATTTGACAATATGACATCAGTAAATAAATGTCATTACCACTTTCAATTTAGTTTTTTACTGTTAATGCATGTGACTGCTCATGACAGAATGACCTTCAGTAATATTACAGTGAAGTTGACACAATTTTTATTCATTTTTACCCCACCCCTTTAAGATACACTGTAGTCATGCTTTACACCAGTGGTTCCCATAATGCACGTGTCAAACCCAAAGCCTGCAGTCCACACAAAAAACATTACACAGAGCAATGTACAATATTTGTAACTTAAAAAATAAATCATAGTAACAATAATAATAATAATAAATAACCCTAACCCTTAATTTCCTGAAGGGAACTCCACAGGAATTGATAATGTTCTATCTAATCTCTAGCTTATCTAATAATCAACTGCAGAACTGTTTATTTATGCGTTATGAAGTGTTTACATCTATACAAATGCTTTAAACCAAAACTACAAGCCACCCTTCAAGGGGAACTGTATTGCTAATGTAGCCCCCCAGTGAAAATGAGTTTCACATCCTTTCCACAATTTCCATAAATCACCAAGACAAAGGAAATTCACCAAGTTTCTAGCCATTATTCTAAAAATCTCAGACCTTGCATGTGATAGTCTGCTATTAGCATACCTGTTCTCGCAGCCAGTGCGCAAGTCAATGCTCAGCTAAAAACAATAAGGGATCAGAAAGCTTTGCTTTCCACATATTGCTTCATTACTCACTTAATGCAAAGCAAAGCTCTTAAGATGATAATGACAGTAATTATAATGCAGGTGTTAGTTAAGGTAGAAATGAACTAGTCCAGGGTTTCATTAAAAGTGGCCAAAAATCTCTTATTTTGGTCAGAAAGCAGTTGTTTGGAATTCTCACCAACAAATTTGTGTCAAAACAAGCAGCTCTTAGCAGCTTGTAGAAAGTTTACAGCATGTATTTTTGAAAGTTCCGGTGAAACACAGCTTGACAGATAGTCAGTGTCAAAGCTGTGTGCTCATCAGAGGATGTACATCCCTTTGAAAACTTTTTTTAACCACGGACAGACATATTTCCTGATACAGTGACAGAAGGGGCTAAATGGCATTTCCAAAAGGACACTACTTTATCAACCTGATCCCAGTGGTAATTGATGTCGTCACCTTCACGCCCTGCCAAAGACTCTATTGATCGCTGCTGTGAAACGTTCCGTCTGTAGAGTTTAAAACTAAACGGGGATTTGTGGAGGTGTGGATGCCGGATTACATTGCTGGTACAAGATTGAGGGCAAGGCTGAGCAAAAACGGCTTCCTCCCGTCCTTGAAAGGGTGCACAATCAATACTTCATTTAAATGCTTTGCTTTAGACTTGAAAATCTGGTATAAAGACAAGGTATGAAAAAGAGACGGTGAGAGATCTGATCTGAGATATCAATTACCTGTCACTGTTGCACAACACCAGACTTTTCTCAAGGTCATCACAGAAACTTTATACAGTGTAAATTATAAATGGCAGTTTAGTGCTTCCTAAAACTGTGAGTCATTTAAGTTATTTAGACACTTAACTTGTGTTTACAATTTTACACCGACAGAACATTGATAGCAGGCAAATACCGATATCAGCCAATTAGGAGTTAGAGTCTGATCAAAAAAATTTCAAGTTTTAATAATCCATCATCAGAATTAGTGATAGCACTATACACACTACATAAAATATAATTATATTTTGAGGTATACATCCCTAAAGGCTAGATCAAAGCATGCTTTTATTAATTCATACCCCACCATTTTTACATTATTAATATTACTTTTCCAATACATCTGAACATATCACATTGTGTTTAAATTAACATAGTAGTTTATGAGATGAGATGCTCCTTACAAGGGAATCGACTCATTGTGAAAATGATTAGATGAGTCCTTATAAAGGGATCAAGCAGCAAATCTCTAGCTTTGAAATACATGAATAATAGGATTACACAGCATGACTCTGGCAAAATAGATTTCAATCAACCTTGTATTATGTAACAGATTATTAATTCCAATTGGTTCCAGAGGCATCCAGTGCTGGGATGTAAGAGAATTAACAAAGCTTTATTGAATAGTTAACTTTGGACTAAAATATAAAAAGATAACCAAAGTCACTTATCTATTCTCATAGGTTCTGCTTCATAGTCACGGTTTCCTAATCTCAGTTCATTAATAAAAAAAGCTGAGAGGAACTGTTGATGGTGGCTGACAAAATTCACTTTTTTTTATCTTCTTCAGAAGACTGATAATTTGTGCAAGATGTTTGTTTTTAATTCAAGTCTCCCACAACTTTAAGATCATTTCAACAATACAGCTTTGACTGGAGGCAGACTCACAAAAAAGAAATTCCTGCACAATGAGTAACAACTATTCTCAATATCCATTTAAAACTTGATTTATTTTCACATTACTTTGCTCTGCTGCCAAAAAATGTAAACAATAAAAAAGGTATTACTATGATCACTTGGTTGTCATGGTCCCATTGAATGTCATTGAAGCTGGAGCCACTAAAACCCTGAGAGTCAATTGACTCTGAACCTAAATTCTGATGGAAATAAGGCCTGGTGTTTTTTCCACTCTCGCCTGTCTACTGGTCTGAGGGAATCATTAAACCTAGCCAAGGTTGTCCTGCAACTGTACACTTTGTAGAAAACCCCATATTTCTTCTCTCAAGGACGTAAAATCCAGGTTGAACGTCTCTCTGTTCTCTGTCTATGCCTCTTTTGTTTCTCCTGCCTAGTCTTTATCTTCACTCACACACACAAAGCTGGTCCAGCTGCTATGCCAGGACCTCCTGGGATCCACCATCCTGCCTGTTGGTGCCTTGCTGCAGATGTTTTAGATCTTTGCCCTCCAAGAGTCCTAGCTTTCTCCTTGTTTCCCAAATGCCCTTGTCTCTCCTTCTCTATGAGTTATAATGCACTCAAGTTCGTCTTTTACTCCGGTTTTCATGCTGGAAACGAGGTTGCTTTTGGTTGTCACAGATCACATTTCTCATTTAATCACACAGCGTATTTAGAAACTAGGTGACATAGTGAGGACATACCAGAAACTCGAAGGTTTCAGTTCCTTCCCTTACTCTTTCCTTATGCATTCTCCCAAACAAAAATACACCCACAGGCTCACAAGCACACAAAGACTCCAAGCTGGCCTTACCATGTAAATGAGATGTTTACCTCTGTTCTCTCTCGCACACTGGCTCGCATCATTAGCCACCTAAATATAACAACTGACTGCCACCAATTGTCATCATACAATCTCATTTCAGTGGTAATGACAGAGCACCCACACCAACACACTGAGACCCAAAACAAGGTGAGCGGCAGAGTTGTGACAGGAATATTTATGAGCAGGGTGCTCGGCTAGAGTGTGCAGTGTCACTAACAAGCTATAAAACCAACCCCAGCTCCTTCTGTCATTTTTGACTGTCTCCTCAAACTAAAGGAGACATCTGTGTTTTTTTTATTTGTTAAGAATGTCAGAGAGAGAAAGAGCAAATGAATGTAGACATTGCACATCAGAGGGCCACATAGCACAAGAACCAAACCAAAAAATGTCCTTAAACCCAGTTGCATGGAGAAGGAAAAGGAAAACCCTTAAAGGCCACAGTTAGAGTCTGGACATGATCCGCTTGCCTTCTTGCTTTATTGGTAAAGTGATGCACTGACTTTAAAAAATACGGTTTTACAAGTACCCCAGTATGAATTAACAGTACCTCTAAATCCCTATAGAGGGCCTCAAAGGGCACCTTCCATTGTTAAAGGTTCTGATTCCTTTCAAATTAAACATTTGTTCTGTACTTCTTCATTTTTAATATTCAGATCTTTTATATATTTGCATTGTGAATTTAACTGTTATTTGCAGAATTTTAGGTGTTTACAACAGAAAAAGCTAATAAAATAATAAAATAAAATACCAGCACCCCAACTTGGTTCATTGGTATTCAACTGTATCAATTAATTAAGTCATTCTGTGTGCTAATAAAGCCGAGTAATCCATGGTCATTTAGACCCGTTTCAATTTCAGAAAGGTTTAAGCAGGGATCAATCGCTGCAGTGGGGTTTAAGATGGAGACAGGCTCAGAATTAATGTGTGTGTGAGTGGGTGAGGGACAAAGACAGAGACAGAGAAACCGAGAGAAGCAGAGACGTCAAAACTGCTTAATTACTTTTGTTTGAGGCAGCTGATAGTTAATTAATCTTCCATGTTATTCTGTTATTCTTGAGAACCACTTTGTCCAAAGCATTTTTAATTAGCAGCGTTACTGAGGAGGTGGGTTCACTCAATACACCTTGTATTATGACAGGCATCTCATTACTTTTTAACTGTTTACCCAGGATGTGCTGTAGAGAGGCACGGCAAATCTCCGGGGTATTCTGCATATGACATGCGCACTTTATTAATGTTTAGATTTAAACCTAGTCACACCTTTCAGGGGTTGGGAAGGGATTTTTATATGCAATTTGTCAACAGCAGCATCATCAGCTCATGCTGTGTGACTGAATTGATCACAGTTGCTTCCTGCGTCTATGCTTTCAATTTCTCCTCTTTAATTACTTGAGGCAGGTTGGGATTTTCAGCAGACATACATACTTAAACATCCTACTGTTTTCCTTTATCAACAGTTCATGGAGATAACATTCCTGACATGGCAACTGCTATCATTGTAATACATTGTAAAAAAAAACAGGGTTTTGCTGCCGTAGACATTTCAGACTGCTGCGTTTCATTGTCTAGTGTAAATTGTTGACACTATAGAGAGAACATTGTTGATAGAAATTCAAGATATTTCCATCTTATTTATAGTTTACATTACATTATTATTTATCATAATATGTTATCATTGCATGAACATTATAGCTATTTTTATATAAATGATCTGTACTTACACAACACTTTTCTAGTCCAGATGACCACTCTAAGCACTTGACACTATAGGCTTTGCCCTCCACCAAGTAGTTTTATATTCCAACAGTGGTCAGAAAATCGTAATACGATGTTCTTCGTTTCACACTTCCAATTAAATTTTGCAATGGGGCCAAGATAAGGAAAAATTAACATTTATTACAGATGACTGTTTGACGTGATCGAATGTTAATTCAACCACTGACTGACCAAAAAAAACAGCACTTGTAAAATGTTGAGAAATCCCAAAAGATACTTTAAACATTATTAAATTGGACAGGGTTTGGACAGAGGTAATCAAACAAAAAGCAATGACAGACAGGGCTTCTACTACCTTTTCTATTTTATTTCCTTACACTAAAACATGTGGACAGTTCTCTCTTCTCTGTTTGTGCTACTTCCTTGCGCTCAGACAAGAGATGGATTTTGAACACAGGCAGGAAAATCAATCAAGATTGGATTGATAGAGTAAACTGACAGGCCAAAGAGGCAGCCGACCGTGAAACCGAGCAGATTAGGACTGAGGGTTGTCTGCAGGAAACAAGCATGACAACGTGGTACAAGGAGGTAGTGGAAGAAAAAGTCTTAGCAATGTCACTTTTTATCTTGACATCAAAAGAAAAAACATTTAAACCTGAATCTTAAAAAATTGTTTAAGTTAAAAAGGCCATCAGGGCATCTTAGGTGGATAACCAGGAGAGAGCACAGAGAGTCTAACCTGACCAAACATATGCTAAATGGCAATTAAAAAAAATCTTATTTTACAGTCAATATGTCGGAATTCATCAAACTTGACAGTGTTACAGAGAGGATAGAAAGGTTTTGTGGTAGGTAAGTGTAAGTAAAAGCGAGATATTGAAAAATTAACAGCCAGACCCCAGGAAAATAACACATTTTAAAACCAACAAACAGTGTCAACACAAATAACATCTTCACAGATTTCAGCTGACTACTCGCTTGAGTTCAGAAAGCCAATAAATCACAAAAAAATTAAATTGTTTCAAGTTGAAGTTACTAAACTGAGCAATGATGACACAGGACGAAACACTTTGCCAACAGTTTTTATGTTGTTGCTGACTCTCACACTTTTACTGCTCAGCCTGGTGAATCACTTTATTTCACCTCTACTACAAGAGGTCTAATTTTAGCTGATATTTAAACCCTAAACCTTATTAAACCTGAGCTTTTTTTTTTTTTTTTAAACACGTGACTCACCTTCATGCTCTTTCTCAGAAGCCCCCACTTTCTTCGTCTTCTTGGGGGTTTTCATGAAGAGTGGGAAAACAGTTCTCAAGCCTAGAATGTCCACAAACTTATGGCAGTTGTCTGCTCCCTCTGGTCCAATCATGGCATGGTCCAGCACCTTCAGAGCACTGGTGCGGGACATTTTCTTTTCCCTGAAGCAAAGAAAGGAAATAATGATGAAGCTAAAGACAAAAGTTACAGTCAAAATACAGACTTAAAATATGAAAATGGAATGGTCCCATCAAATTGGCTTGTACTAAAATGAAGATGAACATGGAAACTCGGTTTAAACATATAATAACCCAAGAAATATTAGCAAAACAATAGCTGCAAAAGAACTGTTCATAGACTGACTCAGTGCCTTTGAGCAAAGAAGTAACTTGCACCTGTTTTTCATTTTCAATGCTTGGCTTGTACAACTTGGCAGGCCAACTGTTTGAAACCCCCTCCTCACTCTAGCCCCTCGCTTAATAAATGTAGCCGTCTGTCACTGTGTCACTTCCTCTACTCCCACTGGTGACAGATGATTGTGTTTATCCCAGCAGAGGGACACATATTTTAAGCAGTTGAGTCTGGCTCTCCAGACAGACAAGTTGTATATGATGGACAGCAGAGGTCGATACCAAGTGGTTCCCTATGTGTGTGTGTGTGTGTGTGTGTGTTTGTGTGTTTGTGTTACCCGAGGACAAACACAGCTTCCTTACACAGACAACATCTGACAACATTTTCCCACCCATTCGCCCAATATCTACAACATCAGTTAATGAAGTTTTGAAATGTAGCTCTTTTGTAGAGGTGTTTTCTATTGGGAACATAATAATTGAAAAAAAGCCTGAAATCGTATAGCTACTTATTAACTTAGGACTGCAGCTTTATAAGAAAACAAACCTGTGCAAGTTATTATGTTAGGTGTAGTACAAGGTAACATGAAGGTATGACTAATGGCTGACAGCAATAAATGATGTTCATGGTCAAAAGGTCACAGCTTATCAGGGAGTTTGCTCATTGAAAAACATTTTACAGAGAAAAAAAATCCACACCTGCTTCATGATAAACTCGTTAAACTGTTGTATTTTACAGCTAGAAATAAAAGCATAAATGGCAAAATTGATCAGTGCTGTGATTTAATCAACTTTTTTTTTTAATAAATACGGTACTTGAAAAGTTTCTCAAAGTCACAGTGCAGTTGGCTCTATAATCTCTATTCTCTGTCCTTTTCCAACTGTTTTGTGGATGATTTAGCACACAGAGGGGTTTTGCATTGCAATAATGAGATATTGATCCACATCCTAAATCTGGGTTTCCAATGATGTGATGTGATTATCAGCAGCAGTGTGTGGCGGCGGTTGAGGTTTCAGAAACTCTGTATAATGTATCTTTATGAGTTTAAGGTTACATCTTTGCCTTGCCTGCCTTGTTCCACCGACTGCTGATTGATTGTAATAGCAGCCCGACTGCAGCAGAGAAGACGGATGTGCTGTGAAGTGCAATGCCATAGCCTGTTATGCTCCTAGTTTTTGAATTATCACAATGCACAAAGTTCTAAAACTGCTTTTATCTCCTACTTAACAGCTTATTTTGCAGAAGAGTGTACTACAGATTTACATACGTGTATATGTATATCTGCCACGTAGATGTAAATGTAGAAAAAAACGCAGGTGTGGTTCTATTTCACAGTAAATAAACTCTGGCTATTTAGTCAAAAATTACCTTTGTCTTTTATGTGAGACTAAGTAGTTGAACAATAATAAACTAGTTTCTCTTCGACTTAAAACAGATTTAGATATATTTTAAATACTAGGAAGAGTAGCACACTTTTGGTCTTCTCACTTTTTTGAAACCATGGTGTGCAGTAATGATGAATCGGCCCATATCAATGTTAAAAATGTGTTCAAAGCCAAGTGCCAGCTGTGAGCAGAAACACTGATTCTCATTTGAATGTGAAGTTATTTATTCACTGATAATTAATTATGGACTGATGCTTTTGGACAGCTCCTAAGTGAAGACTCACCTCAGCATCAGGTTCATCAGTTGAAGCCCTTCTCCTTTGAGAAAGCGATCCCGATTAGAGGCCAGCATGAGACAGGAGCACAGGGCATCAAAGAGATTCTCCATCATCTCCTGCTCCTCAGCGGTGGAAGGGTTGTGACGCTTGAACACCTAAGAGGAAGAGAAGGAGAGACAATGAGAGAAGGAGGAAAGAAAATGGATATTGATGGCAACAGTTGCAATTTTTGGATGATGGTTTTAAAAAGGACTTCTGATAAAGAAAACTAAAAATAAAGTAAATCTTACAGATAGTTGCTGCAGCAACACATCAATGCCTTCCATCTCACCCAACAGTTCTCTGGTGTCTGTGAGAAGAAAACAACAAGGCTATTGGATATTACTGAAGAAACAGGAAAAAGAAGATTAAATTAAGATGACAAAACAGGGAGTGGGAGGAACCTAAAAATACATATTACAAGGCAAGGTGGGGGAAGGAAATGAGCCACAGCAGAAGAAAAAAAAAACATGTAGGTGACAGAAAGACATCACTGGTCAAATTAAGGTAAAGACAAACAAACTACATATTCCATATATACATCCCATGTATGGAGAAATCACGACTCATGGAAAAATATTTATACTTTTTAATAACTGTGTTTTATTCCCAACAGCCTAAACTCCTGACAGTTTTCACAAGAGACACCCCTCCCCCCCATCAGAATCATGATGTGTTTAAATGTAACTAGACAAATGACAGGAACAACACAGCAAATCTACAGGATCTTAATGAGTTGGGCTTTGAAGCCTTCTCATTTGTAGCAGCAGGTATTCTTGCACAAAACCTTCTCAGACTGGTGTCACAGCAGTGATATGACAGAAGGAGATAATTACAGTCAGATTAGCACATAAAAGAATCCTTTTTCTTAAACTAAAAAGTTGTTTCACACAGTGACTGGCAGTGTGGTGCAGAGCACTGTTTATGGCCACAGACATTTTTATCCACTTTTTTATTCCCCTTAAAATGTTTTTTCTCTCTTCCTTGTATTTAAATGGCAGCAGAGACAGGTGAAGAAGCTCCAATGGAGATAAGGAAAAGTAGAAAAAACTTTTATTGAGTGCAGTGGGTACTATTAATGTCACCACCTGGGGATTAACTGGGGAGTTTTGAAGGAAAAGTAAAAATAAAAGAATGAGGAGGCCATTTTGTAGGTTTAATGTATGTGAGGAGGAGGAAGAAAATGTGGCATATGAAGATGAGGAAACATCTTTGGAAGAAAAAGTGAGATTAGTGCACACATTATGATACATAAAAAAGAAATAGAAAGATGTGAATGAGAATAAAAGAGAAAACGTCCAAGTTTATGTCAGGAGAAAAAACATATTTCAAGAGTAAAATGTTATGATTATAGACTTTGGTCAACCAAATGTGACCTCTGTTTTTAACCCATCATCAAAGTGACCAATGGGCAGCTTTAAGCTCCCGGGGAGCAGTGTGTGGGGACAGTACCATGTTCAGAGCACCTCAGTGGTAACTTGGCAGCTGGTGGACTCAAACCTGAAGCCTTCCGGACCCAAGTCTGCTTCCTTAACCACTAAGCCGCTTCCTTAACCACTAAGCCCCTGTTAGTGTCATGAATTTGGAACAATAGTAGGGTCAGTAAATGTGAAACTATGAACGTTAATGGTGTTGAGCACAAACTGCATCAGAGAGAAAATAGAGCGAATCAGCTGGAGGGAGCAGGAAAGGAAAGGTATGGACTAAAGGGAAATAATGTTGTGTTAGAGGAATCACACTCACTGTCGTTGTTCTGTAGCAGTATTGCTAGAATTTCACTGCAGTAGAGTTTATTGGAATCAAAAGGCATCTTTGCCTAAAAAAGAAAAGAAATTCAGGTTATTGCTGTTTTTGAGGGTCAGGAAAGGAAGCAAGGTGATTGAATTTTTTTTTCAATCAATTTATTTAATCCTTTTAATGTTTTATTTTAACTGTGAATTTTGGTGAAGATATCATTTTACAGTTTTTTCTTTTCCTGTAAATTCTGAAAACCTCTGTTTCTAAACAATGAACAAACTAGTCAGCAGTAGGAGGAGTCTGGAAAAGACAGCACAGACAGCATGGACTGCAGCAGACACATCCTGTCTTGTTAAAGCCCAGCTATCAATACATGTCTGCTCAACGCTTGAAGCCACGCGTTGAAGAGAGAAGAGCCGAGAGAAATATTCTTTTTTTTTCTTGATCGTCTTAAATGATTAAAAAATGAAAAATTCATCTTAGACAGGTAAAGTGCAATATGTCCTGTTCTGTCACCGACTAAAGGGCAATATATTCTACAATTACTTGCAAGTATTGTCCAACTGTGGTAAAACTGTATATTCCTACTTTTATTTTAACATTGTAATATATTCTTTGCATTGTATTTCTCCTGCAATTACAATATATTGTTTTTTTACTGTATAGTTTTCTAGTGTATAGTCTTCACCTGTGACCCTGTGTTGCTGCAACACAACAATGTCCACATTGTGGGATCAATCTAGTGTGTAATTTAATCTAATATATCTATTGACAGAACTGTTTCAGAATCACTTTAAAATAATCTTATAGTTTTAATTATTGGCTTCATTCATACAATCACTGACTATGTCACCTCTGAACCCAACACCAATCTCAAATGTAACTGTGAAAACAGACGGCGGAGTTCTTGGTCGTGTTTTTTCCATTAATGCCTATTGGAACATAACAAGATTTCTCGACCAACCAGCACAGCTCCAAGATCAACATGCTAGCACAACCGCTTACCTTAATTCGCTTTAGCAGCCACTGCATGAGTCCCTGCTGGGCCGCCTCGGCACAAAGACCTGGTCTGAACTCTGCCATGTTTTCAATAATGGCTGTAGGAGACATTCAACATCAGACATGAGACTATTTTCTTCGCCTGTATAGCATCGTCTCAGTGTTAGTGCAGGTGAACAAACGTATCCTACAGACTCTGTGCAAACAAACCCCGTGTGTTAGAATATTATCATTACAAAGGTGCACCTGCCACATATATCTGTTGGAGCAGACTGCAGCAGAACACAGAGAAAGGGAAGGAGAAGGCGACTGGGCTGGTGGTGAAAGAAGAAAGGATGAGAAAGTGAGGATGAAAAGGAAGGAAATAGAAAGGAGATGAGATTAAGAGCACAGGTAAGCTTAAAAATTAGTTGCTTATGGAAAATAGTCCTTGATTTAATTAATTGTTGAGTTGTTATCTACAACTCATTTATAACTTTGGCGGAGGAGGCATCTCTATCAGTGATTCAAACAGAGCAACCAGACAGACAGACAGGCAGAGTCCTGGAGGACAGCAGGCTCAGAGCTGGAAGCAGCCAAGGCAGACAAAAGGCTTATTCAAGCATGGGAAGCTCCCTCGATAACATACACACACACTGAAGCTGTTCTCCCTTCATAACCAAATAACTGAGAGTCAAAGCCCACCCACCCCCCACCCCAAAAACACACACACAAACAACACACACCTCCAAAATCCTCCTGATACTTGGCCTCAATCTGGCAACAACTGAACACAGAGAGCGTGACTTCTTCTTAAACCATCTGCTGGTCCATGACCTACCTACTGAGAACTGGAATCTTTATTTACAGCTGTCCAGACAATGAAAACCACTTTAACTTTTGAGAGATCAAACATAAAAAATACCAAACCCTCAGTTCTGCTTTCATTTTGTTACATTTGTTTATACTGTGACTAAGAAAGGTCCAGGAGATGTGATGGCGGAGACACTAACACGGCTTTAACAAGGTGAATTTTGGTTTTTCCATCCTCTAAATAATGTCAAACTACAGTCATACAGGACTTCCTGTATGAACAGCCCTCAGTCGACACACACACACACCTTAAAGGCACGTCTCCCTGTGGAAAAACTTGTCACATATCAGAGTGCAAGAGGAGCGGGAGGATCAGTAGTGCTCGCCCACAGATATTTATTGAGTCTCACTGGATTTGCGCAAAACATTTCCATTGAGATTTAAATCCAATATGTAAAGTTTGTGGTATTTACTCGATGTCAACTGCAGTAGCAAACTCAGTCCTACCTATAATTTATAATACGACCTACAAACACACACACACACACACACAAACTATACTTCCGCAGCGTTAAGTACCCTTTCTTTCACACCTCGGCTTTATTCTTTTCTGTAACAAAGAGATCGTGATTAACACATTTGTGTCATCAGCTATTTTTTGCCGACGCCTGACAGGTGATGGTGCAACATCCTAATAAGAGAATGTTTCAACTGTAAACTTGTGAATCTTTACTTTGAGATGAAGCAGAGTTTGACAGTTCTGTCCCTGTTTGAAACAGATACAATACAACAATGAGTTTGTGTTCATCATTCAGTTAAAGTTAATCACTGTTAGATATATAATGAACTTAGTTTAAATTATGAAGTGACTTTTGTAATAAACATGCAATAAATATGTAATATAATGTTTTCTTGACATGACCTGGACCAGGCTGTTCATTTCAAACTCATGACAAGCTTTCCTCACTGACTTGGGAGTTTACCTCACTTTCTTAATGTAAACTTAAATCCTGGTGATGCAAAGTGAAGCCACTAGACTGTGAATCACTATGAAGTTCTGACCTTTTCAAATTTGGTGACAACAAAAAACTAATCTGTTAGTGAAGACATAATGGAATACATTTAGTCATAGACTTTGAAGTTCCAACTCAATTCCTCCTGAGAGTCAGATGAAGAAGTGTACTGATTATACCTTTAACCACGTATATAATAATAATAATAAGAGTAATGAGAACTTTACTGATCCCACACTGGGGAAACTGTTGTGTTAACAGCAGATCTGCTGCAACGGGAGGTGTCAAGTATGTAGTTCCTCTGGGGCACAAAACCAGGCCTTTCTGCGTGTAGGGCAGGTGTTAGGAGGCCTGATAACCACTACACTATAGAACTACTGAATGGAATAAAATATAACACGGATTGTTTTTAAAAAATAACAATACAGAATGAGTGTGTTCTTACCCAGTGTGTTGTGAATTCCATCGGCCTCTTCTTTCACCTGTTCATCCAGCCTCTCCATATTCTGCACCAACAGAGCAACGACCTGACCCTCCAGCTGTGGAACAGGGAAGAAGAAATTCAGACGACAAAAGTGTGACGCATTTTTCACACATTCAGTGATGTGAATCCAGGGAGATGAATCACTTCAACCATCTGCAGGGATGGAAAAAAACACTCCACTGTAATATAATATGAAATAATCTCCAAACCTTATTAGTACTGTTAGTTCAATAGGCTTAGAACCAAACAGAGATGTCAGATTTCTGATGGATCAGTCACCAGATATTTCTACGGAAGAAAATGTTTGACCTTTCAGTAAAAAGGACAGAGGATCCTGAGGCCTGACGGCAAGAATATATAATATATTGCAAAAATATATTTATTTCTATTCATTACGTGATTCTGATTTTAATGTAAAGACGAGTGAATAGAAGTCATGAGAGGCGACTAAAACTTTACTCATTCATCAAAGATTTGAGATGAGGTGTCGGCCGCAGTTATTGAGGAGTGATGAATTTCCTCTGCTGCACTACAGGTTTATCAGTACATTATTGTAGTTCGACCTTTGTTCAGTGCAAAATGTCAGCAAACATTATGGCACATCAAAAGTCATGGCTGACTCAGAAACGGAACGACAGACGTGACGGTGATGTGGAGAAAACGAGGGAGAAATTCTGAAAGGATGGAGGAGACCGACAGATTCTGTTTTCCTACATATTTTGTAATATGTAATTGTATATAAATTCTGACTTACAGAAATAAATTTGGATAACGTAGCAGCTAGAAACGGAACCTCACTGCACATTGAGGACCTCCTAAAAGGCCTTTTGTTAACTTTCAAACAAATCTGTGACATTTTTTGTCAAGTTAAATAAATGCATCATTTCTAATAGTTGCAGGTGAGATAAAATCCACATGTGTATGCAGATATGTATTGTGACTTTACAAATATATCTTAAACAGTTCCAATACTGGAAGTGCAGCTCCTGGGTAATTACTTGATAACCAAACTCAAACTTTCTGAATGCATTTTAATTTATGCTAAATTGATCCTGCCTCCGATTCTCTAAAGAGACACAAGTCAAAGTTTTTCAGCTGATTCCAATGCACAGTACTGAGCAGTCAATAAGCTGCTCCATCAATACCAACCTGGACTGATGTAAATGTCTGAACTCACCAGAGCATCTATGAGCACCTCAGCTCCCTCCTCGCTCTCATGGAGAGTGTCAATATCTGTCAGCTCCTGCAGGAGGTCCACCACTGCAATGGCAACATGTGCTTCAGGCTAAGGAGGAAGTGGTTTGAAAACATTTGAAATCAACTTATGGTATAGCTTACGTTATTTATTCCTAATTGTAAACCAATATCAATAGACGGGAAAAGGAAAATCATCCCTCACTTCTTTACAACTTCACTAGTTTGTATTTAATGAGAAGAAGGAATCAAATCATGCTTTTGAAGGACAAATAAATTTATATAGCAATCAAATCTGAGAATTGCATTTTAATGATAACACTGACCAATAAGAAATAATGGAAAAGAACTGTCACCGAAGATAAATCTTATGGCTCAGTGACCCCACTGCAGATAGGAGGACAAGAGAAATGAAACAATTTCCAAAAGATAAAGGATATCAGTGTTTTCATGACTGAGGAGACCCAGCAGAGAATGGACCGAATTCAGCTCCACAAGCAGATGGTACAGATCAGGCATTGTGGCGATGACATGCATTTCTTGGATGATGTCGTTCAAATCCAGCTCCGACTCCATGAACCTTGTTAAGAAAGAAAACCTGGTGAATATTTCTGCATAAAAATGTATGATTTTCTACAGATATTTTGAAATTCTTAGTCTAACAAATTATAATTTACCTAGTTCTCTTACATTACTTAAAAAGTCATTGTAAAACTTACTTCTCTGGATTATCTGGAAACTTTATTCTCAGCTCCTGGTTTTTGTAGGATCTTTTCTCAAAGGTCAGGATCATTTTCTTCACTGAGCTCTCGTCCACTGGCTCCATCTGTTTGATCAGCACACAAGAAGGTAGATGGAAAAAACAGATAGAAGACTGTCAGACATAATTAGAACAAAAAATTCTTGGAGGAAACTGTGGCAAAAACAAGCGGATGTCTGGGTAATTGGCTCAAATTTGAGTCCATAAAGGACCAGAGTAATTGTTGGGAGTGGAGGAGAAGCCAGAGCCGGAGAAAAGCTTAGGATTTCAGTGGTAGCATAATTGTTGGAGCTCATGACGGCTTACAAGCCTGTGAAGTGTTGGACAGATAATGACAGGTTAGGAAATTACAACGGTCTGACATTATGGAAGAGAACAGCACTTTTCTCTGAGTGGCTCTTGACACAGCAAATATTCTGAAAGGCTGCAGTGTGGAATAATAGATATAAGATAATGGAGGTTTTCTAATGTGCTACAGAACATGGCAGCAATAGTTCAAGAGAGGAAGAAACTTTTCTGACACACTTCTTCACTGAATAAAAATCATTCACCAGCATTAGAGCAGAACGTCAAGGTTTCACATAATGGTTTTTTAGGTTACCACTGAGAATAATCAGAGAGAGGACAGTAACGTCTAAAAAAACACAATGTTTTCAGTATCTTAGACCATGTTTGGTAGTTCATTAGAGCAGATAGACCAATATTGATCCTCAGCGGTGTCCTACATGCCAACCCATTCCCAACCTTTTCAGGCTTTTGAGCCTAAAATACAAAGTCTTTATTCATGCTTCAGAACTGGGGCAGATGCATAATTATAGTCTGCTTGTTACTGTTACAAGATCCTAAAGTGTCTCAACCCGTTTGGCGGTCCTTGATTTTTCCATCATCACATTTAAGGTTGGCTTATGGAATATAGGATTAACAAAGGGATTCCCAACCTTTTCAGGCTTTTGAGCCCTACTGACATAAAACATTTCTGGCAAACCCAGAATCATTACAGCACCTGTCACTTGGGTAGTCACTTGATCACAGCCGTTAATCACAGCCAGCACAGATATTTTTTTAAGATACAGTATTTATGAAAGTGTAAGAATACAGTTGTTTAAGATTGGGTGTGGTGCTTTAAAAAAGAATAATATATAGTGGAAAAATATTTTATTACTATTCCTTTTATTAATTATTAATTTTTTATTAGTTACACCGATGTAACATCTCATAAGGCTTTTGTGCTTAATTCATCATCTGTCATCGATGTACAAGCTGTGGTTAACAAGCTGAATGAACTTCAATATCGTGTTTATATAATGAGCATGGCTAATCAGCAGTGCCACACTATATCCAAAACAAAACTGACTTCAACAGAAAAGTGGAATATTTTCAGTTAAAGGAGTCTTAATTTACCCAAATATACAGCAGTTGAGAATTCCCAATTATCTCATTTTATGTTGATTTTTCTCACAAACCTGAAAAGGTACATTTATAAATCTCAGAGGAAAGGTTTGATGTAGACTGTGTCTCTCATGCTCTCTGTCTGTGTTAAGATAAATACATTTTTTCAATGTGCATTGTGTTACTGACAGTGCTAATTAAAATACCTATTTAAAGGATAATTATTCCTCTAATGAAGTGTTGTTTTCTTAAAAGACTAGTTTTAAAAAGTTAATAATTTCAACAATGTTCCACTTTCTTTGGTTCTCGAACATAATGCTGAATATTACCAAATATCATGTTGTTTTTAGGTTGTAGAAATCCACTGACATCTTCATAGTCATTTTAACCACACCCAGAATGAAAATTCACAAATTGCCTGAAAAGTTTTACATTGAAGTTTTGCAGCAATAATTAATGTTCATTCATATAATATAACATGTTACATTATCCGAGAATATTTAGCTTTTATGTGACACATATTTTACATGTCAAGGTGTTAATAGTGACTTATGAAAATGGGTGAACATCAAGAGAAAGGTATTACATTCAACAGGAATTTAAATTGTACCTAAGCTTCTATTTGACCAGTTTTCCTTGCAACCAAAACAACGTAATACTTAGTTGAGATTTGCCTCACAGAGCAGAGTTATGTTTTTTTTTAAATCCATACTTTTTGCAAAACAATGACTTGAAAAAAGGTACTCTGTTTTGTGCACTTACATACATAATTTTCACATAAAACATAGACAACCAATTGAAAAAGGTAAACCACGTATTTGATATGCTATAATTAACACATAACAATTTTAAATGAAAATAAGACACAGCTTTCATACAATAACAAAGACAAATTCATGTCCTACCTCTGGTTCCTCTTCATCTTCATCCATCAGTTTGTCTAAAATCTTCTTTTTGTCCTCAAGCTCATTGTTGTCCCTGTTTTCAATGCCTCCTTCACCTCCGATTCCTGCTACAACATCCCGGTATCTCGATGACTCCCTGGAGCCTTGCCCTTTCATCTGTTTGACTCCTCTTGGGTCCTCGTCTCCTCCTGTTGCTCCTCCATTATCCTGCCTAGGTCGCTTTGCACCTCTGTCAGGCTGTGAAAAAAAAACATTGTTAAAAACAAAAACATATTGCATGCATCATTGCATAATGATAATTGCATTATGATAATTAATAATAATGATAATAGTTGCATGTACCAAGCAAGTAGGAATAATATAAAATATATCTGTATCTCTAACTGTATGTCACATAATTTGACATTCCACAGTTGGATCAATAATTAATTTGAAAAAAAATGTCTTGGCATTTAAATATACTGACAATTTCTGATAGAACATTACAAACACGCTGCAAAGAAGTGCGCATCATAACACTACAATAACCCTGCAAAAACTAAAGAGATAAAACATATCCAATCCAAAACGTTAAATGTTTCACAGGTGGCAAAGATGAAATTGAAGTTTATTGTCAAATAAAGTCATTTAAATGTACTACAACCCAAGACAAGAACTATGTGGCTCCATCATAACTATGACAATAATTCTGAGTGAACATTTATTACAGGTGTATAGCATCATTTTCAGCTAACATGCTAACTCCTAGCGCCGATCATCAACAGCGAAAAATACGCTATGGTCCATGCACGCAAAAACTAAATAGCTGATTAAATTCTTGTTTGTTTAGGTACAAAATTATTTGGCAACGATTACACTCCTCTAATAGTAGCTTCAAATACTACAACATTAGCCACGAGCTAGCCTGCTGTATGTAGCCAAATGAATGGGCAGGGCTAACGTTAGCTCTGTAATAAAAAGTTAAGAAAATAATAAAAAAGACAACGCAGGGCAAAGTAATATTCACCTGGTAATTCAGGAGTTCTCCTACATCCATTGGCACAGAATAAAGCAATAAAACGTGATACAGTTCGGCCTAGTTTTACGGAATTTAACCTCAGTATTCACAGCTTTAGCTATTTGGTTAACAAGTACGCATGGCATGCCGTAAACCGTTAGTTGTCGTAGCAGCATTCTGTCGTAAATTCTGCTACCCATACAATGTAGTTCTTAAAATGACCATAGTTGGTTTAAAAGACATTTAGATAAGATCTGTTGTTAACTTGCCATTCGAAAATTGATGCACACATTTCGAAAGACCTCTCATTTTACAGCAAAGCTGCAATGACTGATAAATACCTGCAAGATTCCTCTCGAATGACAGCTATGCCAAAGTTACTGTACTTTATGTATTTTTTTCATGAAGTTAAAGGAACATATTCTTAACCAGATAGCATTAATCAATACAGTTAAAACATTAAAATGTATTATGTTCACATTTACTCTGCCCTAAACACATAGAACATTCTAAATCAAGCTATTAAACTGTGCTGTTTGTTACAGTATTGTTTAAATATAGCAACTTTCCTATTATTTGTTATGTATATTATTTAAATCAGTATCTGAATTGTGTATAATATAACATCTACAATTGGTATTTATTTACAACTTCCAATGGTTGTGTTTTTGTAATAGCATGCCTGAAACACAGTCACTCAGCCAGCAATATTTGATTAATGCTAATTATTAATACTGTAAGTCAATTAGCACAAATAATATTATAATTTTATATTTAAAAAACTATAAGTGAAAGTTGACATTTTAGTAACATTAGACATTCATTCATTTTATAACCCTTGGTGTCATGGTTGTAAAAGTCAAACACACAAGCAACAAGAGTGAAACAAATTATTGTTGGGACTCAAAGAAAGAGATTTAAGCCATATGTTTGCATGGATAAGAATGGATGACTGGAAGAAGAAGATCCTGCTGCAGCGGAGAAGGAAGTACAGCTATTCCAACATTGTAGAGTCAAGAGGAACGGAGTGTTGCAGCCAAGAGAGTTTATGGAAGGAAAGCAGCACAACCAAGTAATCCACATTTACAAAACTAATTTTAATCATTTTTAGAACAAGACACAAAACTAGTTTCTAATAGCTGATGGTAAACTATTTGGAACAAAATAGTTATTAACACTACAACCCAAGTATAACATTCAGTAGCTGCATTTTTATCACACTGTAAACAACCATTCCTACAGAGATTCTTCCAGAACCTGTAGACCACGTCTTTAGTCTGACCTTGATGGACACACCCATTTCTCTGGAATAGACTATGTATAACCATAGTGCAACTATGTGCAACAAGACATGAATAAAAAGGCTGCAGGGTAAAAACAGTTTATATTAAACTGGTTTAAATGCAGACTTACAAACAGATGCTGAAATCTGTTTGGGTGCTTGTGGGTATTTGCTGAAGTCTTGTTTGTAGGATTAGATGCAGCTGGTGGGGAGTTGCTTTGAAGATGGAAAAAATGCAGAATCCAAGTCAGAATTAAAAATACCTTATTGATTTCAGGTTGATGTTGCTATATGTTGTTGCTATATTTACAAAATAACTGGACATGGAATCAACAATATATAATTTTGTTTTAATTACTTCAATTGTCACGGACATCAATCCCAAGACTTAAATAAAACAAATTTGCTAGAAGTTTTGCTGCACGTTTATGAAGCTCTGTGTGTCCACCAAATTATTTGTCCAGACAGGCAGAAAATCACTTTTGCGTCGAGCTTCAAAAGGAAATGTTAAAGTCATGCAGGTTGTAGAAGCAGTCATTGCTGGTTTAGTTTATGGCCACTGATCTGTGACTGTACAGAAGTAGAGCAAAGGATATTATATTAATATTTTCCAAATACAAGACAGCTGAGAATGACGTGACATTTTAAAGATTATTACAATTATTTAAAAAAAGAAACAAAGGAAAAGACATACGACATACAAATTTGCAGTATTTGTTTAGTTCATGTAATGCAGTTAAATAATAACCAGTGCAAAAACGTCGGTTGTGATCAAAATGAAACCAAATTTATCTAATTACATGATAATTCTCGGTCTCCATGGTGAATTGTACCAAGATGATGTGCACATACTGCAGGTTTTATGTTCTGCCAGGCTTATAATGAAATGAATAATGATACTGATTGTTAATCAGGCAGCTAGTGCAGGCTGCTTGGACACACTGTTGACAAGCCAGCTGATGTAAGGAAAACACAACTAAATTGAAACATCAGAGAATAATTCATGTGTGAATACATCTGTTTTCTGAGCACTTGGAAATATTGTCTTAAAACTAATTACCGAAATCAGACAGTTCAGGCCAGGCAGGCTATAGAAGTGTGTTAAAGAAGTGAGTACAAAATCTGTTAATTAAAATCTCCTCTGTTGCAGCTGCCTCCTTTATTACAAATCTTTTCTTTTTTGCACAATTATTAACACGTTCTTCAATTCCTGGAGGAGCAAACAGCTTCCATAAATGACCGTCTGCTTCATGATCATCATTTCCACCACAGAATCATTCTGAGGGCGACGCTGTCGGATCATTTCCAAAGACCCGTACCCCCATTTGTTTTGCAACAGAACAATACAATTTCACGCCAGCTGTGAAGGCTGATTGCCCTAAATCACGAGAGGTCAGTGTGATTGAATCATGCGGCGAAGGCTGATGGAAGTGCACTAAAAAAGTCTCTGTAGTGGTGCTTGAACAAAAGCAGATGCTGATAATCAGTGGTTCTCCTACATCAAGTGGCGCAATCAGATGAGTTTTTTTCTCTCCTCTATGATTTGTGTTATGAATCAAGTCTACCACAACAAAGAAGGAAATGTAAGACGGAAGTTGATGATATGTTGTAGTGATTAGCAGAGAGAGATGAAAATAACTTTGGTCAAGTACTTTTGGAAAGTAAGTTTGGTCATGTTATACTTGTGGAGCCTGAATCTTCTAACAACCGGCAGTGAGTCTTAGCCTCGCACAGTACAAACTGTTCATGGGTTCAAATTGGACCAATCGTATGTTGAGGCGCAAACGCCAGTCCAGGTCATCAAGGAAATGTTATTGTCGATTGTGAATGGAAGAAAAGTTAATTGAAATAAAAGTTAAGTTTCCATGTCAAATTCTCAGTCATAATCTCAGTTTGGAGAAAAATGTCACTAAAATATCGTAAATGAAATATCATTGCTCAAGGACATTTTCATTTTCTCTCTTACAGCATTTCCTGATAAAAATGTTTTTTACTAATTTTAGACATGAGGTAGTCAGGTAGTTGGTGGTAGTTGGGACTCCAAATGCACCAAATGCAAGTTCTAGTTTGTCAACCCAGTAGTAAGACAATCATAGTCACTGTCAGTACATTGTAGGAAAAGTTAATGGAAGCAGATGTAAGAGGTCAGTGTGTGCATTTCACTAACAGCTGGCAGGTTAATAGTAAGAAATGCGCTCCGCTGCAGTCAGATAAACAGTGTTTGAGTCTTTCTGCTCTACCTTCAAGGCTTAACTGCATGAGGGATAAAAAAAACTCGCACTAAACAGAGTGAAGTGTGTTGCTCCAGGGCACTTCAGTGGAAGATATGTAAGAGGCCCAACAGTTCATTACCAGTCCATCTCTGCCTCGGCTGTTTGAACTCCAGCGAAGCTGTAGAATGTTAAGCGTTGCAGGCTCATAAGTTTGTCTTCTTACCAACTGTATCGCTATCAAGCCGCCAATAGAGCAGAAAGCGTACGTTTATTTCCCAGAGTGCATGTTTATCCTGAAATGTCCTTTAAAAAACTGTGTAAAACAACCCTACATCTGGTGCAAAAGCAACTTTCCACAGAGATGAACACAAATCAAACCTGCAGCAGGCATCTGGGACTGTAAAATCCATGTCAAATATGTACACTCGTGGGTGAACAACAAGGAAGCAGCGATATTTACTGTCAGTTTTGAAGGACGTGAAGGACGTAATCTGCATTTAAGCGAGAGGAAGAGAAATCCAATTTTCCTGTTTATGCCGCAGTCGCATTTTAATGTCGGGCATACTCCAGCAGAATCATTACCAGAAGCAAACTGGATGTGAGATGAATGTTAAAGGTGCTATAAGTTACAAATACTGCCTTCTAACACATAGTTGGAAGTAATAGAACTGCAGAGCTTTAATAAGGGAACCCTGTTTTAATTACCTGGGCTCTTTGTCATTTCTGTGACAATCTGCATTAATGTTTTCCTGCACTAACTGGCCACTAGAGCTCAGGAGTTTATACAGCTTAGGTGGATGAGTTCAAATACTTTGTGACAACAATTCCACACAACTGTGAGGAAGCCTGAACTGGAAGGCGAAGAAAAATTAATTGGTTCAGAAAAACAGGTTGCTGTGACAAGTTGAGCCATAGATGAGTGGAAGCAGGCAGCAAAACACACGGTAGAATAGGACAAAGGAGAAGAAGAGTGGTGAGGAGCTTAATGTCTTTGTGTGTAGAACTAACACATTTAATAAAAAAAACCATCAGACAGTCATTTCTGTTTAATATAATATGTTTATTTCTGCTCCTTTTTTTTAGTTAGGTTGTGTGTGAATGCTGCTGTAAATGTGTCAAGAATCTTGGTGATTACGTGTGTGCGTATATTTTGTCGCTGTGAGGTAATGTATGGAGTGTGCGTATCTTATCACAGTCTTTTTCTGCTGTGACCGTGAGCGAGGTCACTGATCTGATGTTATGTGTTTTTCCTGTCCAAATTTAAATGACGATAACGGCAATCTGCCTTGTCCCTGTGACACCCATGAATCCAGACATCTCAATGGTAATCTGATGTGCACCATTTCAATAAGCACATTCATGCCTGTGTGGAACATGGCTGTCATCCATGGTCCGAGGATGTCTCGTCTCAGTGCCGTCTTTTTGCATTAGCCTCCTGTGTGTAAAATCCTGTCGCTGTTTGTTCCTTTATCAGCGCTGCCATCGCTTAACCCTAACCTTGTCTTTAGATAACATTGATTTTCCTGCTAGTGTTATTGCTATAAACCAGCTGCAAGGACACTAAATCAATGTCAGTGTCTCTTTTTTCCTCCCACTCTGACTCTGTTCCTGTGACGTTCTCCAAACGTAAGAGTTTTTTTTTCTGCGGAAAAGTCTCATTTTGTAGAGAGAAAAAAAAAACGCCTCAGTCTTTGCT